TGACGAGAGTACAGAAAAAGTATGGGATGACAACTTAGAAAGGTACGACTTTTTATGTATCTATATTTATTTTTTTCCTTTTCTCTATACAAGGCGAAGTATGCTAGGGGTGGGGTTCCTGTGTTGCAATTATTGCACTCCATTTCGTAATTTTCATTAATTGACAACTATTTATCRTGAGTTTTGTGTGTCTTTCAGGTGTACCCCCCAACAAAACATTGTATTCCTTAAAACGCATAAAACAGGCAGCAGCACGCTGACAAATATCTTTAATCGATTTGCTGATCTTCGGGAACTTACAGTAGCATTGCCAGTTGTCGGCTTCAATAGATTTCGTTGGCCTCTGCCTTTTCATTGGACGTACGTTGATCTGTTTTTACTGGATGATAACTATGCTAACATTTTATGCAATCATGCTCGTTACGTTAGAGAATCCATGGACGCTGTTATGGAGCTTGATGCAAAATACGTAACAATTCTGCGAAACCCTATACAGCAATTTGAATCGATGTTTGATTACATGGAATTCAGCAAGTTTTTTGGGCTTCAAAACACAACGAACCCAATGCGTCGATTCTTAAGAAGACCTTTTCAGTATATTCGTAACATGACTATGAAACTCCAGATGTTTCCTGAGTCGATGCATTTGATAAGAAATGGTCAGTTTTTTGATTTGGGTCTTAACCCTCGTAGCTATGACAACAGGACGCTTGTCTTAAAAGAAATAGAAAAGATTGATCGAGAATTTTCCTTGGTTTTAATCATGGAGTATTTTGATGAAAGTTTAGTTCTTCTTAAACGTGAAATGTGTTGGGACTTGGAAGACATTGTGTATGCAAAGTTCAATCAAAGACATCGAGTCAAGAAGGAACACATTGATAGCGATTTAAAAAGAATGATCGAACGTTGGAATGGAGCTGATGTCCTTTTATATCGACACTTCAATAATACATTCTGGAATAAGATAAAAAGTCATGGCAATGAATTCTACAGAGACTTAGAAGAATTTAGAGCAAAAAATAGTCGAGTTCAACAAGATTGTATCTCGCCGGTAATGGCAAAAGAAAAAGCATTTAGACTCACTAAGGAGGTTACAAAGCTTCAGCTAAACCCCAGAGTGACTAGTTTCGATAGATATTTTTGCAATAAGCTTTTAACAGACGAGGTAGCTTATCTAAAGTATTTTAGGTTTAAGTATAATCCTTATTTTGGTTACCAACGAAAACTAAGGTCCGAGCGAAATCTGCCTCAAAAACCAATTCCACAGGTCAGCCGCACACCACAATTTATGTCACAGCGAAATTTYCCGCAAGGATTTCCACAACCTCAAATCAACTCGAGAGAACCAACTTTTGTAAGCCGTCCACAACAACAACGAAGTTTTCAACCTCAACAAAGACAGTTCCAAGGACAGGAAACGTTCCAGACTCAAAACTCAAGACGTAAACCGAATTTTATAAACAAGCCACAATTTATTGATRTTCCCCCTAGATTCCCATTTTAAAAACAAGCCACAATTCATCGATATTTTTGGTCGCTGGTATAAATGTTCAGTTTTGGGAAGTTGGTGTTTATGAAATGTTAGTTTCCATATAATCGTTGTAATTATCCCAAAATATTGTGCTTACTGTTTTTCCCCCAAGAAAACTAGAAGAATGCAAGAGGACGTCGGGCAACATATGAGGGGGTAGGGGTGGGGAGGAAGGGTGGTGTTAACTGTTRAATTATTTGGCTATAAAATATTAATTGTTCTTCTACATATGTTATTATCAGTGAATCTATTAAAAAATTTACTTTACACTGCCATAAGTATTATTAAAGTGTGGTCAAAATACTTAGAACAGTTGGTTGTAGACCAATGTTCTTTACGGTGTTAAATTTATCTTTTTACATAATAGTAACATTACCATATTTACCCGATTAAGCGCCCCTTCTCTGATAAGGGCCGGGTCTTAAAGAATTTAGGGGTTTTGACGGGGGCCTTTTTGGCCGGTCGAATGTTTGTTTTTAAACTTGACATCAGCTTTATAGATTTTAAATTTCTTTTAAAAGTACTTCAAAAGTTTTGGGATCTGTCAACCCCTCCCAAAATTCCTCGTATATCCGCCCATGACTAGCCTGAAATAGTGAAATAGTGTTGCAGGCCTATAATTTTTTTTTGCACAACCGCGTTGTAAGACAAGTTGCTGAAGAAATGCACTGCACCGGCATATCTACTATTGATCATTGGGCTTCGTCAGGAGTCCACTACTGGGCCTGGGTCCGACGATAACGCTTGGGGAGAAAACGGACGCCGACCCAGGCCTGGTGGAGGAAATGGATGGGCCCAGACTCTGGGGCCTGTCTGAAAATCAGTCTATTAATTCGCCACAATCCTGTGGACCTTCAACCACGACTGCCCCTACCCAATCCAAACAACTTCAAAACGATGTCGTGATGTAACAATGTTTGCTGCGAAGATTTAATTTTGAAATGCAAGCGGCCTGATATATGCCAACGTTACTTCGGCAAACAATCATTCGCCTAGGTTCAGACATTTCCTAGCATGCGTGCACGTTTGGATCGACTCGGCTGTGTTTTGAAGTGGCTACCCATACAGATAGGTTAGTGGCTAGATAGTATCCTTTGAAACCAGGTATCACTTAGATTCGTAGCTCTAGTCCTAGGGTAAGGTTTAAGAAACTATCGGTTTGATGGATTTAATTTCAGATATTTTTGATAAATAATTCTAAGAGGTTTCAAATTAACTTGAGTCCATTTGGATTACCTGGTCTGTGAGTATCCCATCCAGCTACAACCATGCTACATATAGGATCAGTTGACTAGGAGTTGTCTAGGTACAATGAGCAARTGAGGATAAAATGAACGATCTGTGCACGGTGTTCCTTGACGTTTTTTTAACATTGTACATTTTGTAATTGCGAAAAAAGACGAACGGGTTGGACAAATGAAAAAGTCACAAATTGCACTCTTAAGTATGTGAAGTCTTCTATCTAAGGTTGGTGATTTGGTACAAGAATAGTCTTTGGAACTTTGAACTTGTGAACATAACACTAGCTTTTTTGGTTATGATAGACAATGTCTCATTGGGCTCCTGTGCTCATATTTTAGAGTTACATCATGCATGAGAAGGATCTGTCGTACGACTTCCATATATGGTTATGCCCTCGGGGTTGTGCATGTACATATAGAAGGCTCTCATGTCCCTATTATGTGAAGAACACTTAAAAAGAAAAGATTTTTAAATATGGAAAAGTATTAACCTCTTAAACCTTGAACCATGCTAAATGTATGCATTGCCTAACCCTATAATTTCCCTAAACTTAACAATTAGAGCGGATTTCGTATGAGTGGGAAACGGACGGTACTGTACTGTGACCGTAATCGTACTGTAACCAAATTCTAGTGCCCCATTGGTTCACCAAAATTGTGCAGGCCAGGTACGGTAACTGTGCGGTAACCGTGTGGTAACAGTGTCCCACTCACACGAAAACCGCTCTAAGACAAGAGATCAATTCGGTTGAGTGAACCTAACTTTTTTCTGATATTTATGCAACGGCATTCGTGAATAACACCGCGTTGTACATAAGATTGAATATTTAATCAATGGACTTTCTATAGGGACATGAGAGCGTTCTATAGGTACATCAGAGCCATGCATATGGACATCCATATATGAAAGTCGTACGACAGACTCACATGCATATAGGCAAATAGGCAATGTGCCGTAATAGCGCCATTTTGTATAACAAAGCATAATAAGTAGTAGTCCTCTAAGTAGTCCTCTAAAAAATCTCCTTAAAATCCGTTGCTATATTTTCTTTGTAGAAACGGCACAACCTCAATTTTTACCAGGAAAAACAACTTTACAACGCCTTARGAGGACTGTTTTAACAGACATGAAAAAGTGCGCAGAATACAASTATACATYKTCTATTCGTCACCTGAGTCCTGTATGTCTCGGCATGCCTGCTTGTATAATGAACGAAATTTTTCTTTCCATATTTCTCTTCCTTGGGAAATAATAAGGGACGCAGTTGCACTCACGGCTACATGCAATGCTACTGGTATTCTTGACTGACCAATCCTGACACAGGATGATCAAACAGACCAAATCATAACAGATAATACCAGGCTGACCTGGCCTTTGCATGGACAAAGACAACAAATCCCCTGGTAGCCTGGTAGTCTGGTTGCAGTGTAGTGGTTTTGATCTGGCGCTGATCATCTTCTGATGTTGAATCCTTTGGTTCCATCGGGGCCACTATAAAAGGTAATTTTAGAATAATGCTATATCAGCCAAATAAACCACAGTCGATGTGGACAACGGCAAACAATATAGTGAAAGAAGCAATAGATAATTATTTCCTCGTATTTTCATCTTCAATTTTTTTCTCCATAAAATATAACGTAGAATATCGAAAAATGGGCTATTGCCTCACAGCCACCAAMATATCAATAAAATGATATTAAAGTGCCCTGGGTTCCAGAGGCTGGATTTACTMTTTCCTGTAGTTTATGGTTGTTTACCAGTTCAGTCTAGAAATGAGAAAGGGTTAATTCCAACCACAGAAACTCTATGTATAAACATAGAGGAAACAATGACCAAACCTATCATATCACTCTCCGAGACTGACTACTGAAATGAATACAGAGCGTCATTCTGAAATAGGCAATGATTACATTGCTTTATAATCTGAGATTTGATTGACACTAGACGTAATGTTTAAAGTCCGACAATGAGGACTGGACGGGATTTCAAGTCCGCGCAATTAGTTCCAGTCCGAGACGTCAGACGAGGACAGAAACTAATTGTAAGGACTTGAAATCCCGCCCAGTCCGAATTGGAGGACTTTGAACGACTTCTCATACTCATTAATTATTCGGGAGGGGTAAAAAGCGAAGGAAATACATAWAACAGAAATATATYGATTTATTGCATCTCCACTAAGGTTTTCAGTTTTCATAATTTTGAATACATGAAGCACGTTTGTTGTTCTTCAATTCCCTGACTGTTTTATGAAACAAAAGCTATTCAAGATGTCTTTGTCTGCTATTCATGGCATTCCTAATGAGCCTAATCCATAAGATTTATAAGTATGTTATCTTCCGAGGAATCGCATCAGAAACTCGGTGGTGTAATGGTATAAGACGGCGCATATAGACTGCACGGTAGGGGATCGAGTCGTGAGGGAGTCATGTATCAAAGACCTTTTTTCACTAAATTAATGTTAAGTAACAATGCACTTAAGAACTAGGGAACTGTTTATTGTTCTGCGGCATTGCAAATTCCCCATGTACGAATGTCTTGGTTTTCTCACTGATTATATATCAACCTATACACCTTTACCATAATGGCCGCCATCTAATTAACATGAATTTTTTAAATTTAGAATTTTAGTCAAAGTAAACTAACAGCTGATAGGAACCTGTGCTAATAACAACATGTAAAAGTTTGAAATGAAAATATTAAATTCTGGTGAAGTTATAAGGATTTAAAATATATCATAACACCAGAACGAGGCTATAAAGGCCTTGGCTGAAAATTACATACATTTCTTTGTATTTTCATTTCG